ATCAGTACCTGATTTGCATTCTAAGACATATTCCTCATTTATAAATCAGTATTTTGAGTAGCAATGCTCAAAGGACATTATTGGTACAACTGGCAAAATGAAATATGAAATGTGTATAAGATAATAGTATTGTATTAGTGTTAACTGGTATTTCTGGGTTTGAAATATTACTGTTAATATGCAAATGAATGAATGACCTTGTTTTTAGGAGATAAATGAGAAAATACTACAGGCAAAGTGTTCAGTAATAATTGCTGTTTACGAAGAAAGTGACAATGCAATTGTCGGAAAATGCTAACAATGGGTAATTCTGAAAAGACTGTGGGAGTTGATAATGCATTACTTTTTTGCAATTTTTCTACAATTTTCCCAAAATATGCCAATTTTCCTCAGGGTTAACCATGCAGGATCTTCCCTACATTTTATCTTGGAGTAAATTTCAGAATGAGGCATGTTTATCACAGCTTCATGTGAAAAGTTCATTTTAAGATGAAGTCCTCATCTTATCAGAAGTAGACAGTCCTGATCTCTTGCTCTTTCTTACAACACTTTATCTTCACTTAACTTCTACAAGACCGTGTAGCCTTTTACCTCAATGGCTGCTCCTTCTTAGAACCTTCTACAAGTTTCTTCTCATCTCCCTGACCCTAAAAATCCAGAGTTCCCCTAGCCTCAGTATTTCAACCAAGAGGACTTCCCTTCTTCAGCCATACTGTACTAGTGTCCCTTACACTGATTTCATCTAATCATATGGCTTTAAATAGCAAACCAATACTCTGTCAACTAGTAAATTCAGACATGTAATCTCTCCCCAGAACTCAAATGTCCCAAACCTAATTATACCTACTTGACATCTCTATTCAGATGTCTAGGAGTGTTCCCAATCACAGCATGTTCAAGAATGAATTGCTAACTTTCCTTCAAAAGGTGTTTGCCCACCCACACCAGAAAGCCACCTTTATCTCAGTACCTAGTAACTCCATCCTTCCAGTACGCTCAGTCCAAAAATCTTAGGATGATCCTTGACTCCTTTATCTCCCAATCCACATGATCCCCAGCAACAAATCCTCTCTTGCTTCACCTTCAAAGTATATTCCAGAATCTAACCACTTATTATCCCTACCACAGGCACTAGCCTCATCTAAGTCTCCATCATTTTTTGATGGCTTATCACAACAATATTTATGCTTTTACTACCGCTCCCTTACAGTCATTAAGACCTTTTAAACAACTAACTCAGATAATTTTACCTCTCGGTTCAACATTCTCCCAGGAATTCCCATCTCAGTCAGAATGAAAACCAAACAGCCTATGGAACTAATGTGATGAAGCCCATCCTTCATTTCATCATTTACGATATGACTTCAGATCCTTCACTCTGCATCATGTCTCTCCCTCAAAACACTAGGCATAATACAGTCACTGAACATGATATTCCCAATGCCTGGAATACTCTTTCCCCTACATCTACATGGTTCACTTTCTCACTCCCTTTATGTCTTTGTTCTGGCACTATCTTCTTAATCAAGCACTGTCTTCTCAATTGAGGCTTTTCTGACCATGCTCTTTAGAAACCATTCCCTGACCCTTGAGCCAGGTGTAGTGTCTAACGCCTGTAATCCCAGCACTTTGGGAGGCCGAGATGGCATGAGTGCTTGAGGCCAGGAGTCCAAGAGCAGCCTGGTCAACACGGCAAGACCGCATGTCTAGAAAAAAAGAAAAAAAAAGAAACCATTCCCTGACCCTAGCTCCCTATTCCTCTTCCCTTTGCCCATAATACTTACCTTTTGACATACTATAGCTTTCATTTATTACTTTTCTATCTGACTAGAATATAAGCTGTGTGAGGGCAGAAAGGAAGCTGGGGATGGTTTGTTCACTGTTATATTCCTAATCATAAAACAGTGTCTAGCTCAGAGTGTTTCCAATAAACATGTTAAAATGACTTGATTCATGGACTGAAGAATAAATCATAAAGCAGTTATATGTGATCAAAGGTACTGATTAAATAATTCTTTTAAACTTCTATAATAAGGAAATTAAGTATCTGCTCTCAAAATCACTGTTAACCCCACCTCCTCCACCCCCCCAAAAAAATCACTGTTATCCAGAAAACACACACATTGTACCTCTCCACGTCTATAAGTTAGAGAAAATAACCAAGATGTGGCCAAGAAAGGCAGGTAGGGCAAAAAAAAAAAAAAAAGGGAAGTCACCAAAATATCTCAAATTAGGTAGGGTTTTCCTTGGAAAATCTTGTACACATGCAAATACAATAAATCTATTAATCGGCTTACACAATAATCACTGTATCTTTGCTGAATGCTTTCTCTTGAACTGTATTGGAGCAATTTGGGGAAATGACATCTTCACTATCAGAAGACAAATCAATATACTGTATTCCTCTTTGATTTTTGAAATATGATATACTTGCTTTTCTCTCATTATCTGGAGTTTCTGGAACACTAGAATCTTCTGCAAGAGAATAAAAAGGAGAAAAATGTTTTCAGCAACTGGAAAACAAATCTGTTGTTAATTACAATCATGTGCTAAAATCTCAAATTTCATTCATTGTTTCCAACCTAAAAACCAAAATTCCCACCACCTTTTAAAGAAAAAACTTAATCGCCAACCAGGGCTGGTGTTAAATTTTCTGTTTCACAGGTTGTTTACTAACAAGACTTCACTGGAAATTGCAAAATAAACATAGGTTTGTGTTTTATATTCTAATCCTTTTCTCTTGTGCTTTTGTAGCACTTAGGTTTTGCTTGAGACAGCATGAACACCATAGCCCAAAAATTTCAATCCCAGCTCTTCATCTTATTAATTTCTCTAAGCCTTGATTTCCTCCTCTGTAAAACAGATACTAATAATCACAAAGTTAATATGCATATAAAATCAGATTATATATGCAAAGCATTTAGTTCAGTAATTGGCACATAGCCAGCATCCCACTAACATTAGCTCTTATGTTTACGTGGTGTAGGGGCTGAACTGTGTACTCCTCCTCATCATTCATAAGTCCCAATCACCATACCTCAAAATGTAACTGTATTTGGAGATAAGGCCTCTAAAAAGGTAATTAAGGTTTAATTGAGGTCACGTGGGCCCTATTCTTTGTGACTGTATTTGGAGATTGGACCCTCAAAAGGATTACGTTAAAATGAGGCCTACAGGATGAGCTCTTGAGTCCAATATGATTGATGTCCTTTTAAGAAAAGGGAGATACACCAGGGATGCAAAAGAAGGAAAGGCCATTTGAAGACAAGGCAGTCAAGAGATCACTTTACAAGCCAAGAAGCCTAAGAAGAAAACACATGCCAAGTTGATCTTGGACTTCTAAGCTCCAGAATTGTGAAAAATAAATTTAAGTCGCCGAATCTGTAGCATTTTGTTATGGAAGTTCTAGAAAACTAGTGTGACTGGTATCATCTGTCTGTTCAAAACAGGTCAATAAAGTATTACACCAAGATCTCTTCTCTCCAAGGGGTGAATTCCAATATTACTTTCCCTTTTCCCAATAAAACCACCATTTACCCTTACATATTTTAGGAGGAAAGGATCAGATTGAAGGGAGTCATATTAAAGTAAACATAGTGCCTAGTCTGGGAAATTAATTTTAAAAAGCAATAATCAGTTGAATCTTTAGTGCAAAGGTTAAAAATGATAGCTGTCATTAACTCTCTCGTAGGTCATTAGCAAATCTTCAAATATAACAAACATTTAATCTTTACAATAATCACGAGGGACACATATCCCTCGTGAGAGAAATAAACCCTGAGAGAAAAAGCAACTTGCCCAAAGTCATACAGGAGAAAGCAGATCTGAAATCCAAGTCCAAAAGTCTGAACTGTTATACCCTAAAACTCTTAGTCACCTCCATTAAATTGTAACACTAAATTATAATGATCATTACTGAGGCTCACGAGCCATATCTGTAAATACAGACTGAACATTCTGATCCAAAAACCCAAAATAAAAAATGTTCTAAAATCTGAAATCTTTTGAGAACTGACATGACTCCAAGAGTGGAAAATTCCACATCTGATCTCATATAATCAAAAATGCTGTAAAAACTTCGTTTCATGCACAAACTTGGTGTATGTGAAATACAGATCAGTTGTGTTTAGACTTGGGTTCCATTCCCAATCTCATTATGTATATGCAAATATTCCAAAATCTAAAATGAGAAACATTTCTGGTCCCAAGAACTTCAGATAAGGGATACTCAACCTGTAACAATAACCAAGTACTACACAACTACTATTTGCTCTGGAGAAAACCAAAACACAAACATTTCTCTATTTCCTACAAAGAAGTCCTAGGAACAATAGCAAAAAGCAAATCATACTTTTTCCCAAAGGAACAATTTTATAAACATTGCATGCAAGTTGAGCAAACAACTCTGTATTGGAATAAGTCACAGCCATGTTAATTGCGACAAACATGAAGAAACCTACATATAATCATCACATACAAAGTAACAAAATTACAGTCCAAACTCCTATACAGTAAGTATAGAGGTACTTTAGACTCTGATTTTACAAAGTGTTCCTGATAATCACAAATCTAAAAATACATATAACTAAAAATTTAGATCTTTACTGTATCAAAAATGGGAACTAAAGCTAATGCATGTCAATTGAACACTTAAATGACAAAGTCCTACTTTCTGACACTTTAGAAAGGCTATGAGAGGCCGGGTGCGGTGGCTCACGCCTGTAATCCCAGCACTTTAGGAGGCCGAGGTGGGTGGATCACCTGAGGTCAGGAGTTCAAGATCAACCCGGCCAAGGTGGTGAAACCTTGTCTCCACTAAAAAAAAAAAAAAAATTAGCCGGGAGTAGTGGTGTGCGTCTGCAGTTCCAGCTACTTGGGAGGCTGAAGCAGGAGAATCACCTGAACCCGGGAGGCAGAGACTGCAGTGAGCCAGGATGGCAGCATTGCACTCCAGCCTGGACAACAAGAGCTTAACTCTGTCTTAAAAAAAAAAAAAAAAAAGGCAACGAGAAAATGAATTGTCCAGTTTTCCTTAAAAACTCTATTTTTACTTATTTAGCCATGCAACAATGTCTTTTATTATGTATGTGGTTTAAAGTTATTTCTTGAATCGCTCCATACACAGGCAAAAATAAGTGTGTTACTTAACACACTGCAACTTGCCTAACTTCATTATTGCCTAGAGAAGAGAAAATTATCCCCAAAATGTGCTTAACCAGGCCAATGCATCTGCCGACCTCCAAGAACACGGAGATGAACGTGATAGACAGACCGTCCACCAACTGAACCTTCACTCACCACCATTCGATAACCCTTGAGGCCCAGATCAGCAGCACATTTCTTGCCAACAATTATTAAGTGTCCAAGACTTTCATCATCATCTTCTGCTGCAGAAATCTGGGATATATGTTTCTGGGGTATCACCAGAAAATGTGTTGGTGCTTGAGGGGAAACGTTGTGGAAAGCAAGGCACCGGTCATCCTCAAAAATGATTTTGTCTGGTATTTCCTTGCGCATGATCTTCCCGAAGATTGTGTCGCCACCAGGCTGAGCCTTGGCAATCTCATCGGCCGTCTTGGCCTCTCTAACGCGCGGCGGACAGGGTAGAGGCTCGAAAGGTTATTTATTTTTAAGACAGAGTCTCGCTCTGTCATCCAGGCTAGACTGCAGTGGCGTGATCTCAGCTCATTGCAACCTCCACCTCCTGGGCTCAAGTGAGATTCTTCTGCCTCAGCCTCCTGAGTGGCTGGGGCTACCGGTGCCCGCCCCCACATCCAGCTAATTTTTGTATTTTTAGGAGAGATGGAGTTTCATCGTATTTGCCAGGCTGGTCTCAAACCCCTGACCTTGTGATCCACACGCCTCAGCCTCCCAAAGTGCTGGGATTACAGATGTGAGCCACCACGTCCTCTTTATTAAAAATGAAGACAGGAGGGAGTAGAGCATTGGACTGCAGACCAAAAATGAAGAACAATCTTTTCACCTGTGGGGGGGCCTAATATTTTATTAGTGAGGATTAGGAGAACTAGAACATTCTGAACATGATTTTTTATTGACCTTTTCTTTGTTTTTCTCCCTTACACAGACTGTAGTACAAAATACATGGTGAAGACATACACATTTTTATTTTATTTTTTTTGAGATGGAGTCTTGCTCTGTCGCCCAGGCTGGAATGCAGTGGCATGATCTCAGCTCACTGCAATCTCTGCCTCCTGAGTTCAAGTGATTCTCCTGCTTCGGCCTCCCTAGTAGCTGGGATTACAGGCGCCTGCCACCACGCCTGGCTCATTTTTGTGTTTTTTGTAGAGACAGGGTTTCACCATGTTTGCCAGGCTAGTGTCAAACTCCTGACATCAGGTGATCCGCCCACCTCAGCCTCCTGAAATGTTGGGATTACAGGCGTGAGCCACCATGCCCAGCCCTCATTTTTAAAATTAACCTTTAATATGCTTAGTTAACAGAACAGAAAAAGAACACAGAAAAAAAATAAATTTGGCTTACTTCCCATTATGTATTTAACTACTTAGCACTTATCAGATATGTAATAATATAGTCTCAAAATATATACATTAAACATGTACACTGTACTGAACCAAGTGCCATCCTCACAGCCTGCTTGGCAAGTGATTAACAGAAGAAATAGTATAACTGGGGGGGGGGGGGGAGCGGTGAGGGAAAGCTATGATACAACATTTCTTCAACTCAGAACCCCTTCGTACTCTAAGTCCCAAAGAATTTTTCCTTAAGTCAGTTGTATTTCTGATACTTACCATACTTGAAAATAAAATTAAAAGTGAACGTTTAAATATTTATTTATCTAAAACCAAACATTTCACATATTAACATAATATACTGAAGTCATGAAAGATGTCATTTTGAAATATGCCCAACCATTGATATGAATTGACAACACCTGAGAAATTGTAGTTGCAGAAATGGGTAGCTGACTCGTCTCTTCTTGCATGCAGCAAGTCAAGGAGGCTTCTCTGGGAGGGGTACCCTCCCTGTACCAAGGCGAAACTATAGCCCTTATCACCACTGACTGAGAATTCGGGGTTGCAACAGACCTGATTAAATATATTTACCAAAGTAACACTTACTTTCCAACAGTTTCACACCCCCCACATGTCTCCTAGTGACTCCCCTAAAAGTTTGCTGCCCATTGCCAGATCCCCTTTGGCCTATCATTTCTTCTCAAATTTATTGTTCTTTGTCTAAAAAGTAAAAAAGCATTTGTTTTGGTCAGTTCTTCTGATTTCTCTCGGGTAGATCTCCATGTACATATAAACCTAATAAAATGGTATGCTTTTCTTTTGTAATCTTCCTGGTGTTGATCTGGTTTCTAGATTCAGCCAAAAGAGCCCATATAAGAGCTAAAGGGGAATTGGAAGTGATCTCTGGCTCCCCTACAACATCTTCATGAAAACTATATATCCCCACCACAAGTAATTTATTTAGTCAGATGAGTGACACTATATTTATCAAAATCTCAGGTTTAATACAAGATGGTTGGATTCTCGTATCTGTTTCTACCTTTAATCTGTTGCAATATATTATTTTCATTTCATTTTATGAAAAAAATATGCCTCACAAAGTAGTTGGAGAAGGGAGGGGGTACTTTCATAGCCTTTTTAGATTATTGTGAATATTTTTCTTTGATACTAAACCCAAACTTGACAAGTGGTAACTTCTTAGAGTTAGTTGCAATGTGGAATCAGGAACCATAAGAAAAAACATTTTGCATTCTACTACATTAAAACCGTTAACCATGTATTATTTCCCAACACTGTGCTTTGGTCATTTGGAAAATACCGGTTCACTGAGTAATACACATCTTTCATTTTCCAAATGTTGACATATTTCATGATATTATATTAAAAAATTACTTTGGTTAGTATCACCATTGATCTTATCAGAAATGTCTAAGTATCTGGAAGCTGTCAAACTCACAGCTGTGGACACTAGTTTTCCAAAATTCAAACTTTCCTTTGAAAACTGGGGTTTTATCACTGGCAATACATACTGTGTTGTTTTCTTTGTACCACTTTGTTCATTTTGAGAAAACATCTGCCAAATTCCTAGGTTTGTAGAACTATACTTTGTGAATCAGTGTTCTGGGAAAGAAAAGTGACTGGTTAGTGCAAAGCAACTGCTCAAATGTCTTCCCTTGAGATCACTGCTGTACAGTATACGGTAACGTGTACTTCACATTTTGTTTCACAAAATACTAAAAAGACATCTCTTAAGTTGAGATTTAAAAAAAATTACTAATTTTTACTGCTTCATCAAGACTCTTTAAGTGAAACCAGCATTTACACAATTTTAAGAAAAACTGACTACTAGAACAGTCTAGAGCCTCACCTTGATCTCTGGTGCTAAGGCACCAGTAATTTTACCTATGATTGCTTCTGCACCATGAGTGCAAATATCAATCTAGTGAAAAAGGCAAGCAGTGTCTTAATATTATTATGACAGTAGTTTTGACCTTGTGGACACCCTCAGAAGGCCTCAGGGAACACTGAAAAGTTCACAGACCACACTCTGAAAACTGATGAGGGCCAGGTGCAGTGGCTCATGCCTATAATCCCAGCACTTTGGGAGGCCAAGACGGGCAAATCACTTCAGGTCAGGAGTTCGAGAGCAATCTGGCCAACATGGTGAAACCCTGTCTCTACTAAAAATACAAAAATTAGCCAGGTGTGGTGGCACATGCCTGTAGCCCCAGCTACTTGGGAGGCTGAGGTGGGAGAATTGCTTCAACCTGGGAGACGGAGGCTGCAGCGAGCTGAGATCACGCCACTGCACTCTAGCCTGGGCAATAGAGCAAGACTCCGTCTCAAAAATATAAAAATAAAAATAAATAAATAAATAAAGGAAACTGATGGGATACAGTAAAAGCTGTTTATATGAACTTACTGATATAGTCAATAATCAGAATTAGAATAGTGCTGAACACAAGATTTGTTTATTTGAACTATTTTTAGAAGTAAGCAATAGCAAAATAGCTAAGAGCTAATGGCCAAAAAGATATTTCTGCTGCAATGATGCTTTTTAATTCAAAGCAAATAAGCACTTTTAAGTAGTACCATAAAGGAGACAGGAAGCAAAAAAGAAAACTACAAAAACAGAGGAAAGAACAGGGAAAAGCAGAAACAGTTATAAAGAAAAGACACCTGCTACTATTCAATTCTGACATATGCTGAATATGGTCTGTGTTTAAGGCATTGTACCAAGAGGTGGGGGATATTAAAGGAAAACAATGGCAAGTTACAGTTCAACTTGCCCTTTTGAAATAGGAGTGAAGTAGCCCTGTACATGAGTAACTATGTTATAAGCGTAATTTGTGCAATGAGAGAATACACAAAATGCTAAATCAACAGGAGAGAAAACAGCCTGTCCTTTCATATAAAAACAATAGGAAAGGCTAACTTGTTTTAAAGATACTTTCTTATTACCAAAGGTAATGGGAACCTACATCATCAGCATACGCAGGAAGACTCCATAGCCCTAGGGAGTAATTCCAAATGAAATTTCCCACTAGTGGTATGAGTAGTATGCATAAAAGAAGACAATCTTATATCCCAAGTTTATCCAGTACCCTTTACCCATTCTCGTATCTAAGTCTACCATAAAACAAGCACTCAAGCTTGCCACTGGTTTTACGTTTTCAATGGTCCAAGATCAAGGTTCCTTCAAACAAAAAATCACTAGTGGGAGATTATGAATTCACATAGAAATAGTTTAAATTAATCTGATAATCCATAAACAAAGGCAATCTCCCAAAATAAAAAAACATCTAAACCTTTACACCTGTCCTACAGAATTATAAATCCCTGCCATTTCCGATATTCAAATCATGTATTGCTCTACCCTGTTCAATCCTTTACATGGCAATTGATTTTCAAGACAATTCCTTCAAATACCAACTAAAACACATCATATATTTGCCCTCCTAGAAGATTATCAAAATACGGCCAGGTACAATGGCTCACACCTGTAATCCCAGCAATTTGGGAGGCCGACGTGGGGAGACCACTTGAGGTCAGGAGTTCAAGACCAGCCTGGTCAACATGGTGAAACCCTGTCTCTACTAAAAACACAAAAATCAGCCAGGCATGGTGGCGCACATCTGTAATTCCAGCTACCTGGGAGGCTGAGGCACGAGAACTGCTTGAACCCAGGAGGCAGAGGTTGCCGTGAGCCGTGATCCTACCACCACACTCCAGTCTGGGTGACAGAGTGAGACACTGTCTCAAAAGAGTTATTACCAAAACAATAGACTGTAAAATCTGTAGTCTTAATTTGCATATCATAGTAGACAGGAAAATACCTTCACTATCCTAACAAAAGATGAATCAAACTCTCTAATAAATACTCTAGAAAAGTAATACACTAAATATAAGATTAAAGAGTAGTTTCTAATACATTGTTCTAAGATGAAATGAGGGAAAAAAATCCCATTTCAAATTTAAGCCAAAAGAAAGGGTGAAACATAAAGGAGGCTGGGCGCGGTAATCCCAACACTTCGGGAGGCCAAGGCAGGTGGATCACTTGAGGTCAGGAGTTTGAGACCAGCCTGGGTAACATGGTGAAACCCTGTCTCCACCAAAAATACAAAA